TTATAATTTATTTTTTGAATAAGGGAAAATAAAACATGTAAATATATATTTTGAAATAGATATTAATTGAGTCAATATTTTTCTTCTGAAAATTCAAAAGATAAAAATTGTGATTCTGATTGTTCTTTACTAAAATATTGAAGTAACAACATATATATATATATATATATTAAATTTTGGTAAATTTTTTTTTATGCATATGGAAAATCTAAAAAGGAAAAATATCTGGCAACTCTTTTTTTTTTCCGGAAGTTAAATTTTAAAAGGATCCGGATTTTTAAAGTATATATTATTTCCAGCCCTGCTTCCAACAACAACAAAAAAATTTTTTATGGCAGAAAAATGGATTTTGTGTTAATTTTCGTCTCACGAAAACTAGTTGGCAAGTGATTTAAAAGAGGTTTGAGAATTATTTATCCTCGCCGACCATTATATAAAATCACATGGCTACTCTACCATTACTTATCGATAATACCAGTGTAAAAACTATAAACATTTGTTCCAAAGTTCATTAGTATCACCAAGAATGAGATCTTTATTATTTTTTATAATTTCATCTCTCAAAGTTTCCCTTTAGGTCCGAGTAGAAGTCCAAAATTATATATTAATATATTATTATCTAGAGTAACGTGAATATAATAGGTAGCCTAGAATTAGGGTTTCTGATCAAAAACAAAAATGACATTCGAATATTCATAATAATTATTATTATCACTTGATATTCGAATAATTATTCGAATATCTGAAATACTTATTGTTATAGTTATTCAAAATACTTATGGTTATTTGAAATACTTATGACTATTTGAAATACTTATGGTTATTCTAAATACTTATGGTTATTTGAAATACTTATGACTATTTGAAACATTTACAACTATTTGAATACTTATGACTATTTGAAATACTTATGGTTATTTGAAAGACTTATGACTATTTGAAACATTTACAGCTATTTGAAATACTTATGGTTATTCAAAATATTTATAAAATACTTATGGTTATTTGAAAGACTTTTGACTATTCGAAACATTTATGACTATTCAAAATACTTATGGTTGAAATAATGGAGAGAGAATCCAAATATATATCACTGACAAGTGATTTTTGGACTTCTTGTGGCAAACATGGATATTTGGGAGTAACTTGTCATTGGATTTCTAATGAATA